GATGGATTGCAAAATGCCACGATGGAGAGACGAGTTTGATCAGGCTGGACAAGGACTCGGTGCTCAATGCTCTTGTATTTTCCATTGCTCAAAATCTGGCATGGAAAAGAACAAAGCCATGATAAAAATCAATCCAAGTCACTTACTTCAAGCTGATCAGCGATGTTCACAATGAATGCATTCTTTATAGGCTTCAAGTCGTACCAGAGATCACCTTTCCTGGCCTGGAGTCCGCCAACTTGATCTTCAAACAGGATTGTCAAACCGCCACTATCGGTGTGGCCATTCATCCCAAGAGCAAGGTCGGGATTTGGGCACGGCGGATAGTAATTTGATCGCAAGATCATCTCCGAGTCTCCAAACGATTTTGCGAGGCAGTTTGAATCCAGCCCGAGTCCTTCAGACAAAGCAGACATCAGAGTCTGACTCAGATGTCTCACGCTTGAAACATAGCTGGAAGCGAGCCTCCTGCAATATCCAAGAAACCAAGCAATCTCATGAAATCCAGATTAGTCAAGCTCATTTACTTGTAGCAGGCTGGTTTTTCCGGCCATGGATGCTCTTTTTCTCTGTTTGAAAAGTAGTGCTGAAAGTGGTCGTGCCACTCCATATGAGTCTCTTGAGAAGGTGTCATACTCGTGCAGTACCGCACGGGCACAAACACCTCCTCCGTATAATACTTCATCTTCTCCTCAATAGGAAGATCAAAGAGCTCAAGCACTCCATGGACCATGCCTTGCATGGTTGCAACAGGAATCCCGTGGTTGATCACCTGCATGTGACATCATATTATGAATGATCCTTTTGAGCAGGTACACATCAAAATACCTGAAAGATGCCCCATTCACTCGAAGCCTTGCACAAAGTTTGAACAAATTTCTCTCGGTCACTCTCCAATGCAGCCATGTCAATCACAGGGATCTCCACTCCAGGAACGATCAAATGCTTCACAGCTCGGTGGCTGGGAGGTTTGATATAACGGCCAGGAATGGTAACGAGGCCATTATCCATGAGAGCTTTGACACCCTTTGGAAGAACATCAGTCTGCTGATTGACATTTGCAACAAAGGAAGGCATAGCTACAAAATTAGGAGGAAACAAGATGAACGAGGTTGCATAGAATTGGTGGGTTTATATAGTTGATTTTTCATGATGTTAAAGTCCAAGTTGGTGGCCGCGAAAGACCTTCTTTCTAGGTGGCAGCCCACCTGGCCATCGCCTCAATTCCTTAAAACATCACGTCTTTTCTTTTTCGAGACTCTGGATAGTAAGCGACGAAGCCGGCAGCAGCAGCGAAGGAGGGAGCCGACATCGCGGCTTCGATTTTCTACATCCATCAGTCACAAGATTACCGAAATAACATAAATAGATAGTTGTAAGCATGAGACTGATGGATGCAAGAATGCCACGATTGAAAATTAGAGCTACATCTTGCAGATCTTCCTGGTCTTCAGTCCTTGTTGTGCGCTGCTTGGACACAATTTCTTTCTGAAAGAGCCGGGTAGAAAAACTAAGACAGTGAATATGTTCTCTTTCGATTTGAATTTCTTCCTTTAAATATATATGCTCTCCACTCTTATTTCAATCTAAAGTTTAGCTTAGGATCATGGTTGGGACGATCAAACACCTCTACAACAGTCAATGGATGGTTGCATTGGCAAGTTTCTTCCTCATGATCTCCACGGGAGGAGCACTCAACAACTTCAGCCTCTTCTCGCAGCATCTCAAGCTGTCCCTCGACTACAACCAAAAAAATATCAACACCATAAGCTTATTTAAGGACGTTGGCACCAGCGTCGGGATTCTCTCCGGCCTCCTCTATGATCTCACCGGGCCCTGGGTCGTGCTCCTCCTTGGATTCGCGCTAAACTTTGCTGGATACTTCACGATATGGCTGGCTACAACGCAGAGAATAGCACAACCCCATGTCTGGGAACTGTGCTTCTATCTCTTTATGATCGGCGCATCGGCAGCCTTCACCACCACCGCTGTTCTTGTGGCCTGTGCCAAGAATTTCCCCAAGAACCAGGGCATGGTTCTTAGTCTTCTCGACAGTACGCAGGGATTGAGCGTTGCGATGTTCACGCTGCTTTACCAGGCCTTTTTCTCTCGCAATGACGATTCATTCGTTCTCTTGCTGGCCTGGTTTCCATCACTCTTGTGCCTTCTCTTCGCGTTTTCCATTCGATCCGTCCCACTCGACGGTCGCTACAATGACTCGAGAACGCTCTTCGTCTTCTTGTCAGTAACTTTGATCCTGGCTGGATATCTCATGGCTATATCATCCTCCAGCACTTCGTGCGCCTAGAGTCTCGGATCATCAAGGCCTTCTTTTCCATTATGCTGATCATTCTCTCCATCCCAGTTCTTGTGGTTCTGAGACAGGAATCCAAAACCCTCCGGCATCGCCTTCGCGAAGAAGTTGATGTTGATCTAGTGGAGAACGCAGCGATAGAAACTCCTCAAACAGATTATCAAGACGTAGATCCTCCGGATCATGGGGCAGACGCCGCTGCTCCAGCCATCGCCTCGCACATTTCGATCTTCTTCTTTAAAGGATCGCCCGTCAAGCGAGGAGACGATTTCACAATCCTCCAGGCGCTCTGTAGCATCGACATGTTTCTCATCTTCGTGGCTTCAACCTGTGGCATTGGCGCTGTGCTAACCGTGACCAACAATTTCGGCCAGATTGGAACGTCCCTTGGCTACTCCCAGGCCGGAACAAACACTTTCATCGCCCTCCTTAGCATCTGGGACTTCAACGGTGGCGTTGGCGTTGGCTTCATCTCGGACATATGCCTCGCCAGCTATGGCGTCGCAAGGCCCTTCTTCCTGTGCCTGGTTCTCTTGCTTCTGTCGCTTGGGAGCTTGATAATCGCTCTTGGGCTTCCCGGAGCGCTCTTCTACGGCTGGGTTTTGATTGGGCTGTCAATCGGTGGCCAGTGGTCGGTTCTTTACACCATGATAGCGGAGATCTTCGGGCTCAGGTTCTATGGGACGCTCCAAAATGTAACTTACGTCGCTAAGGCTCTGGGAACTTATGTTTTGTCCGTCCGGGTGGCAGGAGTTTTATACGACTGCGAGAGTAAGCTTGGACCGAGCAATGGAAGTTTGGATGGTGATGAGCTCCTTTGCCATGGACCACATTGCTACAGAACAACCTTTTTCGTAATGGCTGGAGTGTGTTTGTTTGCATCCATTGTGAGCTTGATCTTGTCCATTAGAACAACAAAGTTTTATAGTGTCACTCTTCGAAAGAGATTAATTGATTAATAGATGTTAGCTGCTGAAATGAAAAGTAAAACTTCTACAAGCTGCTGAAATGAATAGTAAACTTCTACGCATAATCCGATTAGCCTAAAAATTTTAGATTATATGCAATTACTCACTTGAGTTATTATTTTAAATGCAAAGTCAAACCAGCCCATCAATAGTTGATGTTTTATGGGATAATTTCTCAATAAGACAGATATTCATACACAAGAAAGACCATGAGATAAATCATTTCTCTTGTATGCAATGGATATTAATATATATGATCAGAAAGGAAAAAATTGTAACAATCTTAAGCTTCATGATAATAAACTACATGAAAAATTAGAAACTCAAAGAGTAAATAATAATTTAACTACTATAAAATAGAGAGAGCATATGCCCAAAGACAAATATAAATTTTTTTTACTTACACTAATGCTTTAGTTTTAAAGTAGCAATGTTTGGTTATAGTAGTGTCATTCCTGTTTAGTATTATTGAATAATCCAATGATAAACATATTTATAAATTATAATACAAAATTAATTTTAATTAATAACAACTGTTACATGGATCCTAGACTATCCAAGCTATCCATTACCATTATAGGTTTGCTTAAGCAATCAAAAAAATAATCTAAAGTATTCAATTATAATAATTTACAGTTGACAATTATAACAAATTTAATGGGTGACTCTTTCATTATAAATTTAGGTTGTAATAGCTAAAGGGCTATTTAATTTTACCATTATCTAAGACTCTTATTTGATGTATATTTCATAATGACAATTTGGTTCCATTCTTCAGACAAAATCTATAAACAAAGTTCATCATTGAAATTTCTGTTTGAAATCACTCCACAACTGATCCACACTTTTTCTAATCAGATCCTGGAAGTAGCTTTCACTCCACCCGTCATAGAGCTTCTTGTTAAGCTCTGCCACAAAGCTAGGATGGAGATCGTTGACATAGTTTAGAAACAGTGCAGTCACGGTATACCCCTCGTCCCAGTGGCTCCCCAACCCCACAAACCCATTGGTCGACACACCTAGCTTAGCCTTGAGCCTCATAAAGTCGGCAATCCCCTCGATCAGTCCCTGCGGCGCCCGGCTCCCGTCCTTGCCGAACCACTGCCAAATGTGAGTCATCTCGTGGTACAAGACGCCTCGGAGCTCAAAAACCAAGTCTCCAGTGAAAGTAGCAACAAACTGTGCGCTGAGATGGATCTCCACACCAATGGCGTAGGCCACCCCAGGCATGCCGTCCACTGTGAAGTGGATGGTGTCAATCTCCTTCTTAGGTGTGTCGGGGCTCATATACTCGAAGCCAAGCTGGACGAAGGCCATGGCGTCGGCAAGGATGGAGAGGGCTCCATCTACTCCCATGACAGAGTCGAAGCGCTGGCCTCCCGGGGATTCTGGGGTTGTGTTGGCGCCTGTGATGGAGGTGCCTTGAGTTACCTGGAATGTTGCTAGGATAATGAGGAGAAAAATTGCCATTTTCTTTATGTTTTTCTTTTCCTCCTTATATCATTTGAGTTATTATTTCAAATGTAGAGTCAGTCTATGTTTCCTGGGATAGTTTCTCAATAAGACAGATGATAAAACAGTTATTTACTTTATTTTTCCGGCATCTTTCCTAAAGGTAGACCCCATTGTTAATCAAAACGATGAGAAAAACAAAGGGTGGCACCTGCAAAAAAGAAAGTTTTAGAAACAAATCGCAAAAGGAGAGAGAAATCGCAAAGATGGAAGGATTCCAAGGATGCGAGAGAAACTTTCGGGACAAAGAGAAAATCTCACCACCAAGTCTACTAGAGCGCTCAATTAGCATGCGAGAGGCACTAGGATTGATACTCTCTACATTCCTTTTCTTTCTCTTCTTTGTTTTCGTATGCCCTTAATCTTTGCCAGATCGCCTGGAGCCGGAAGAGCTCATCCATCTCCTCCTCACCTGCACATCCCTGCGATTGGTCGATGGTGGTAGGAAGCTCCACGCCCATATCTCCCGTCTGGGCCGCCTTGAAAGGGATGGGCGTCTCGCGAATCACCTCATCGACATGTATGGCAAGTGCGGGCATTTGGACGATGCCAAGGCTGTGTTCCAAAGCCTTGACGCGAGTAAGAGGAGCTCTCTCTCGTGGAGCGCGCTCATCACGGCTCACGGCTCATGTGGATCAATCGGAGGGGCTGTTGGCCTGCTGAACGAGATGGAGGAGCAGGGAATTCTCCCGGATCAAACCGCCCTCTTGCCAGCGCTCAATCTTTGCCCCACACACGGCGCTCTCGCAGGGGGCATTGTGGTACACAAAATAATAGCGGATCGTGGGCTGGAGAAGAATGTGATAATCTCAAATGAGATTATCAACATGTATGGAAAATGCAGCCAAATCGACCAAGCCAGAGCTTTCTTAGATAGAATGTATTTCCGAAACACAGGGTCTTGGAACGCCATTGTTTCAGCATATGCCCAAAATGGGCATCAGTCGGATGCAGTGAAAATGCTCTTTGTCATGCAGCTCGAGGGCGTCAAGATTGGAAAAATCGGATTCGTTACACTCCTCAAGGCTTGCTGCGGCCCAATGTTCCTGAAGACCGGCAGACTCATTCACTCTTGTCTTCCGGAGGATGTTCTCCATGAGACGGACGTCACAGCCGGAACGAGCCTTGTTCATATGTATGCAAAGTGTGGCAGCCTTGCGGAAGCGCGAGAGATTTTTGAGCGGATGAGCTGCAAGAACAAGTTTGCATGGTCTGCCATGATCAGCGCTTACGTAGAACACGAGGAAACGAGGTCTTCCCTCGAGTGTTTTTGTCTGATGCTGCTCAATGGTGTCGAGCCAGATGAGCTTTCGTGGCGGTTTTAGAGGCTTGCGGCGTCCTCAAGGCTGGATGTTTTGTCCACGGTTTGATCGAAGAGTGTGGCTTCCAGAGCGTCCCATTTGTAGGAAACACGCTGATAACCATGTATTCCCGGGAGGTGTGGCAGCGCATTTGAATCGAGGAGAGTTTTCCAGAGCATGGATTGTCCAGACGCAGTCGCCTGGTCGTCGATCATTGCAGCTCTCGCGGAGCAAGGCAATGGAAAAGGACTGCAGGGGATGGTGTTTCTTTGGCGCATGCAGCTAGAGAGCGTGAGGCCGAACAACGTAACTCTCCTGGCGGCGCTCAATGCGTGCTCGTCCCCGGCGTTTCTGCGCGGGGGCCGACAGATTCACCGTGGAGTCCGGCTATGACTCCTCTAACAAGATCGTGGGGAACGCGCTCGTCAACATGTTTGCAAAGTGTGGGAGCTTGCTTGATGCACGAGAAGCCTTCGCCAAGATCTCTCACAAGGATGCGACGTCGTGGAAAGCCTTGATCACGATCTACGTACAGTACCAGCATGGAAAAATCGTACTCGATTCACACATGCAGTTAGAAGGATTCCGGATGAACAACCACACTTCCGTAAACGCTATCATTGCCTGCACGGAGATCTCCTCCTTGAAAGATGGCAAGCGAGTCCACGGCTGGATTTGCGAGAGGGGAGTGGAGCTGGACGTTCTACTCGGCAACGCAGTGCTCAATCTCTACAGCAAATACGGGAGCCTGGACGCTGTTCTTCCAGCTGCGAAGAGAAGACGTGATAACCTGGAGTGCAATGGTGGGAGCCTACGATCGCCACGGCCACGCGGTGCGAGCTCTCACGCTCTTCCGAGTGATGCAAATGGGATCCGACACCATGCCAAACTCCATCAACTTCGTCAGCGTCCTCTCGGCGTGTAGCCACGCCGGGCTCTAGGACGCTCACTGCAGCTTTGTGTCGATGAGGAGCAACTATGGGATCGCCCCCGCTGCGAAGTACTACGTGTGCATGGTCGATCTTCTAGGGCGAGCCGGGAAGTTTGAGGAGATGGTACGTTTCGTGGTAAGCTCTCCAGTGGAGGGCGATGCTGTGGTGTGGAGGGCCGTGCTGGCGGCTTGCAGAAGCCTCGGCAAGTTGAGATTGGGAACCGAGCTGTTAAGCGGACTCGTGATTTAGAAAACAAGCGGAAAAGAGAAGATAAGCGAAGCAATCCTGACATACCCGGTATGAGAACGCCTGAGTTCCAACGTACGTAGAAGAGTTCCTCTTCTTCTTTTGCACGAGCATCCAGGTCTCTCTTGAATTTAGTGCTATGGGGCCGTAAGTTTGCTGGATCTGCAAACAGCGTCAAGTCAGCGTGATCTTTCAACACAGTGCAACAAGACGAAACAAGTCATATCGTCTTCTATTTCAATACCAGGATGTCCTTGAGACTTGTCAGTTGACTGATCGCTGGGTCCGGTCCTTCTGCATCCATGCACCCTGGACGCTCTTTTAAGAAGAACAAAGGAAGCAAGCTGGAAGCATTCACCAGAATTGCGGCATCGATTCCAGCTTCACTGAAAAGTGCTGTCTCTTTTCTTGCTTGATGGTCACCCATAGTTGCACCAGCACAGCAAGCTCCATGAGCAGCAAAGATCCTACAATCAGACGAATCCTGAGGAGCTTTACACTCAAGTCCACGAGAAATGCAGATAATTGAAGCACATACCAGTAGAGTGAGCTCGTGGGAGACAAGACCAGCCTTATTTTGTTGCCCGCATGAAGCGCAGATCTTGAAACGGTGACCCTTTGGGCAGGACACGAAGGCACCCAGCATTGGACACAGCACAGCCGCTTCCAGCAGCACGAAGCCAAATGCAGCTACCTGGATCCGCCATATTCGAGATTTACAAGTCTGCTCGTTAAGCCCTAGGGATGGCAGGCTTCTCGTTCTCATTCGGATATTCGTTCCGGAGAGCCGGCTGCTGGTCTCGGCCTTGCCAGAACTAAAAGAGATACAGTTTATTTGAAAAGCCGAATGCAGCAGCGTCTGGGCTGAGGTTCGATTTCATCCAATTGTTTGCATATGTTTGTAACTTGACTTTCGATTTTCTCCAGGATCAAGACGCCTGAGAGTCGCTTGGCATCTCTATGTTCGCAGCAATTTCGAACCGGTTCGTGGGGCAAAGGCCAAGAAAGGCGTTCTCGAGCCAGCCGGATCCACAGAGCTGTGACAGCTAGTGCTGAACAAAGGAATGGAGCATCTGGTGCATTGTCAATCCATACTGAAGAATCTCAATTGAGGCTATGGTGTTCCAGCTCCCCATTTAACCATGTCAATACCCTATAAAATCTCTCTCCTGATCTTGTTCCAGGGCACTGCAGCTGGCGGCACACCTAAGATTTTTGCGGATAGAACCGCCGGATTGCTTAACCCGGTTGGGAAAGAAGGCGTTTCAGCTTCAAATGGCACAGTTAAAAACGAGCATGGGTGCAGCCGGGTCCGGCAACGGTTCCTCATATTGTAAATGCACTGAGACAGATATTACAGCAGCAGCAGTGAGCACATTTGGCTTCTGCTTCTCGAGCATCACGTACATATTAGTGCTGGGCCAGCATGTTTGTACAGGAGGCGGGTAGGATCTCCCAGGCATAGATATCCTTTGGGAACAAACAGAAGTCGTGTTGTACCGAACAGATCGACCATGCAGAACTAATTCGGTTGAATGTGGATGTCGGCTGTCATACTTTGGAAGGTTTCTCAGGCGGCTGCAACAGGCGCACAAAGACCATAGCATCCCTTCCCTTGGAAGATTAATACAGCTTCAGCCAGGGCATAGCATGAGAATGGTCTAGGAAGAGGTTACAAGCCAGCATGGTTCGTATGCTGCCAGCATTGCATTTGCAGTCTACATTTTCCGTAACTTGCTTGCTCTGAGCGTAGCCACCTGACATGCTGCATTGTCGAATTCTCCACAGCGATTCACATACAGAGTTTCCATTATTTTTATCTGCAACCAAATTTCCAGGTTCGTTTTGATGATTTGATTTTTTGGAGAGAGCGTGACCAAGGAATAATCAAGGAAATTTATCTAGGACAGCTTATATACTTATTAACTTCACACGTTTCCTTATGGAATTAATACCACACCATATACGCAATTAGTGTTTTGGTTTTGGGCGCGGAGGTTCATCAGATCCATCGATTGCACATGGTGTAGCCTGGCTCATGCTGAGGTCGTGCCAAACTTGGAGGTACGGGAACAGCCCGAGTACACGGGCACGCTCACTCTCCCTCAAAGCGCGAAACACAGACCTGTATAAACAAAAGCATATATAGAACGCGTACAAACAGCACCTGATAAACACCATCACGGGCATGGTGTTGATGGGAACACTTAAGCCAGCGATGCTGTCATGGTCCGTCACTATGGCTCCCAGACGTGGAGTCTGTCCGAATGGTCCTCCACTGCTACTACTTGCACCTCCAGCTTTGAGACAGTTTACACATCGTTTGACGCACACGACATTAGATTCGCCTTTCTTCTTCTGGTGCTTCTGCACGGCGTAAGTTGTATCAGCCGACTCATTCAATCGTGCCAGCTTCTCGAATACAACATGCTCCGCACAGTTCTCGAAGTCGCGGCCCTTACTGGGTTTGGCCTCTTTATCCTCGTCGAGAAGTGCCAAGTGGAGCCTGGAATGGGTGTCATCATCAAAAGCTGAGACTTGAACTCCCAGCCTCTTCTCCACATCCTTGATGCTTACTGGATTTGGTCTACCCCCTGCCATGTCCATCCTCAAACGAACGTTAGCACCCACAACTCTTGTTCCTTGTTCCGTGACTCCACAGCACAGCACATCGCTCACTTGCCCCTTCTTTGCATGCTCAATAGGAGCCTGGCGAACCAACATCCCCAAGTGCAAAATGCGCAGGAAATGGATGAATGCGTCCCCATCGCTGAGACCTGGAATACCTTGCAATGCATTCCACAGCTTTTGAGCATCGGCAAGGTTCACCTGCTCAGAATCCTTTGAGGCCATGGCTTTTTGAGAAACGCCGTCCTGCTGAAGGTTATTTATCACATGACTAGCCGGCGATTGTACAGGGAGGGAGAAAAATAAAAAGAAATGTTTGACACGTTCCATCAGAAAGCTATTATGTCACGCTTGAAGTTGTGATGGCGATTGAGGCCTCCAACTTGTCAGTCTATGATCTACTTCTTTAGTTCAGCGTCTCTGACTGTCCGGAAAGGTCGCGTGCTACGATGCTCCACTCAGTTTTGTGCCAATGACAAATAAAAACTTTTAACTCATGTGCTTACCCTAGTCCTCAATGTGAGCTGTTTGACTGCAATGCTTAGCATGATCGATCTAGCTTTAAGTTCGTCAGCTGGATTTTGGAGAGGCAAAGACGGAACCTTTCTCACGTTAAACGCACCTCTAAATCTTGAAATGCTGGGCAGACCTTGAATGAGCTTCGAAAAATTTCTAGTACCTGTTTTTGCTAATGCTCACTCTTTGAAGCTTGCACTTCTCCTCTTTGTTTATCATTTCCTTTTCCTTTTGAACTTGCCGTGCATTAGTTTCCTGAAATCTGTGGTAAGTGAATAGCAAACCTTGGTTTTCTATATGCCAGGCCCTTCTTGCCCAATCTTGGTTTCTTTTTCTTTGGTGCAGAAACACCAGATCTGCTCTTTGAGTCTCCATCTTCCGCTCCCACGAGACCAGCAACATCTCGTCAAAATCGACATAACCACAAATGTCAATTGTCACTGGCCATGTGAAACTCTCTCTCTCTCTCTCTCTCTCTCTCTCTCTCTCTCTAGTGTCTTCCTCTAACAACAGCAACGACCACTTTGTGAGTACCTCACTGCTACCCCAAACCTGCACGATGTGCTTGCCATCGTTGAACCCGTCCTCAACTCCACACTAGTGGTAGATAGGATGGTCTGATGCATCTTTCGTGGGTCCTCATGACATGAAATAGCTGTTATTATTATTATATGGCAACTGTAGATGTTCAACGCCCCAGGGTCAGTATAATCAATCTACGCTGTCCAGGCTATATATTGTTATTGCAGCCCTCCAGGGGCTTTCTATCCGGCATCTATTGAGTTCGTTGTTGCTTGTTGTCTCCAGTGTGAGTTTGTGAAGGTAATGGCTGGTTCGCCACTGTCCTCAAGGCTCTCAATGTTGGAGAGGAGCTGACTACGAATGAAGTGCTTGTGTCCCCAAACGCGCGCTACAAGGCTTGCTCTTGCTCATGAGCAATGACGGCGATGTCATAGCAAGCAGTAAGAAGGTTGGAAACGCAGTGGTGGCTATTATTTACCACTGCATGAGGACGCCACTTTTAGTATCGAAAAGAATGGTGGCAATGTTGTGCTGTGGTAGAATGGGATTAGCCAGGTGGAAGGACCTCAATATCAGCTGGTTGTTACCAATGATCCCAAGCTCTATGTCATGGTTGGTGGCAAAACTGTGAACATCATTCTGGAATGAGTGCCTGACTCGAATATGTGTATGTACTTTGGGCAATGTCAAGATCTCGACATTGCAGATATCTGAATAAATTTGGACGTTTACATATATATGGTCTACCTTTTCTTTTCGTTGCTGGCCAAGATCAGCACAAAAGAGAAGAAATCTTCAGGTATGGCCTCTGCATGTACTCTTCAATATTTTGTTTATTTATTCCTTCACTACGATCTGCTCATATCTAGGCAGCAGGGGGAACAACCACTGCTTGGATGTTGGACATTAGTTTCGGGACTGGGTTGCTCCAAGCATCACTCTAGACTATGGCGCTCGATCGAGGTTTGGACATGGCACTAGATGCAGAGCTCTAGACTATGGCGAGGAAGAGACGGACATTTTTCCATTCCATCTCAGTTAGAAACCACATGCCTATTCATCTAGAATAGAATTGGAACAACTCCTGGTCATTTCAGAAATAGAGGCAACGAGAGTCAATAGCTATCTCAATCGATTTCACCAGAGTAGCCAGACCTGGAGACCATCCCCGTTAAGGAGATAATGCTACACTGAGACCGTTGGCCCCAAGGATAGAATTGAGTTTTGTCACCCATATCACAAATTAAGTTTCAGTGCGCCGTTTTGGATTCAGACAAACTGCCTAGAGTTTCGAGATCAAGGATCTGAGCTTGCATCACCATGCTTACATCGGAATTTAAATAGAATCAAAACACCGTGTACCTGAGAGTTCAAGGGTCGGGATGAGAAACGTTTTGACTGCCCTCCGCGCCCTCAGATGTCAGACTCCAGTTGCTTCAGAACGCACTGAATTTACGTGAAGAGCTGCATCAAACTTAAACGTTGGTTAAGTATAACCTGAAAGCTCGTCGCAATATTTGAACACGTATTAAATTAAAGAAGAGCGGGCCAAGGAGCTACCGACTGCTTGACTGGTGATCAAACATGTTGTTATAAGCTTTCAAAGGTTACTGGCCAATTGCAAGGCTATGGCGAGGAAGAGACGACGCTATTGTTCCATATCTACAGAGGGTGTGAATCCACACACACTCACACACATACGCTGTTAATTGAAAGAGGTTGTTTCTTCTTTTTTCTTTTGGAAGCTAAGCATTAACTGACTGTAGCAATTGAAGCATTTTTTGTCATTAAAATCTTTAAGAGATATACAGTAGGTTGGCAATAAAACACAGATGTCCTTTGCCACTGGCCATGTGAAGCTTAGATGTCTGATGTTACCTCCTTGGTTGCTTTGGTGTATGACAGTACACACTTCACCCACTGACACCGATGTTCAATATCATGTGGTTTTTTTCTTTAAAATAATCCTCACTATCACTTGGCAATACTAGGTTGATCATGTCTGATTTATCGTACAATTATTTGTCGGGGAAGATTCCATCGACCTTGGGTAACTGCCCGAGGCTACAGTCACTCGATCTCACTCCAAGGAAAGATCCCGGAGTCTGGGCCAGCCCTCCATGCTGCAAAGTCTTTCTCTTGATGTGAACTTACTTGATGGTGAGATTCCCTCGAGCCTAGCACGGTGCTCAAGGCTTGAGAAGCTTTCCTGCTGTGGCAATCGTCTCACTGACCTTCTTGGGACAGTTCCATACCAAGGGACTTTGTGAATCTCTCAAATTCCTGGAAGAGGAATGACATCGAAGGAGAAGTTCCAACTTTTCTCTTTGCGCACGAGGGTCTTGTGGGTTTTACGCCTTGCTGCGAACAAGTTGGAATCATTTAGCTACGATTTCCAGGCCGATGGAGTCGTATGGAGGTTCTGGAACTACGCTTCAACCAGATAACAGGCAGCATTCCATCGCAAGACTTCAGCTACTTGCCAGGTTTTTGAAGCTCATCTCCTCATCCCAGGAATGAAATTTGAGCGCGTTGACAAACTTTGACGTGGCATTCAACATGCTGCATGGGAAGTTCCTGTTTCTTTGTCCTTGTGCGTCAACATGAGCCACATTGACATGGGCGTGAAAAATTTCAGTGGCCAGTTTCCGCCGGAAATTTCCAAGCTTGAGCAGCTTCAGTTCTTTCTTATTTCGACCAACAAGCTGGGAACCTTGGCACTTTGGATCTCGCGAGAAATAACCTCTGGAACCTGACGAGCATCAGCAAGTGATTTGTCCTCGAACTCAATACCATCTCGCCTTGGAAAGCTAAACCAGTTCTCGGGAGAAATAATGTTTAACTATTATAATTTAGTTATTTAAGTAGACATAATACAAATTGACAGAAATTTAAGAGATTTGTTCTTGTTAGCTTAGTTGTAAATTTGATGTTTTTCAGAATGTCTGCCATCCAAATATTTTTTATAGACATTTATGATGTGCTCCTTGTACAAGGTTCACTTGTAGATCAGTGGATTCCTTGTTAATAGGCCCTATCACAGCATCCTGGGATGGATTGAAAAATGCCATGATGGAGAGGTGAGTTTGATCAGGCTGGACAAGGACCTGGTGCTCAATGCTCTTGTATTATTGCTCAAGATCTTGGAAGAGAACAAGAACCATGATTAAATCCATCAAAGTATTATAAAAGTGGTTATTCAACTTACTTCAGGAGTCTGCCGACTTGATCTTCAAACAGGATTGTCAATCTGCTGCATTCATTGGGATTTGGGCATGGCGGATAATAATTCAATTGCAAGATCATTTTCGAGTCTCCAAACAATTTTGGTAGGTGGCTTGAATCTAGCTTGAGTCCTTCAAACAATGTTGATAGCAAAGTCTTACTCAGCTGTTTCATGCTTGTTTCATGCTTGAAATATAGTTGGAGGTGAGCTTCCTGGCCAAGGCACAATATTCCATCTGTATAATACTTCATACATGAACCATATCTTCCATGGTTGTAATAGGAATGCCAATGTTGATTTATAAATTATAAATATGTTTATAATTATCAATCAATTAAATTATTCAACAATACTAAACATAATTATTACGTATTTACTAATGCAAAAGCTTTATAGTGAGTGGCCTTATAGACATTTCGGCAGCTAACATCTATTTACCAGTTAGTCTCTTTTGAAGAGTGATGCTATAAAACTTTGTTGTTCTAATGGACAATATCAAGCTCACAACGGATGCAAACAAGCACACTCCAGCCATGACGAAGAAGGTTGTTCTGTAGCAATGTGGTCCATGGCAAAGGAGTTCATCACCATCCAAACTTCCATCGCTTGGTCCAAGCTTACTCTCGCGGTCGTATAAAACTCCTGCCACCTGGACGGACAAAACATAAGTTCCCAGCGCCTTAGCGACGTAAGTTACGTTTTGGAGCGTCCCATAGAACCTGAGCCCGAAGATCTCCGCTATCATGGTGTAAAGAACAGACCACTGGCCACCGATTGACAGCCCAATCAAAACCGAGCCGTAGAAGAGCGCTCCGGGAAGCCCAAGAGCGATTATCAAGCTCCCAAGCGAGAGAAGCAAGAGAACCATGCACAGGAAGAAGGGCCTTGCGACGCCATAGCTGGCGAGGCATATGTCTGAGATGAAGCCAACGCCAACGCCACCGATGAAGTCCCAGATGCTAAGGAGGGCGATGAAAGTGTTTGTTCCGGCCTGGGAGTAGCCAAGGGACGTTCCAATCTGGCCGAAATTGTTGGTCACGGTTAGCACAGCGCCAATGCCACAGGTTGAAGCCACGAAGATGAGAAACATGTCGATGCTACAGAGCGCCTGGAGGATTGTGAAATCGTCTCCTCGCTTGACGGGCGATCCTTTAAAGAAGAAGATCGAAATGTGCGAGGCGATAGCTGGAGCAGCGGCGTCTGCTCCATGATCCGGAGGATCTACGTCTTGATAATCTATTTGAGGAGTTTCTATCGCTGCGTTCTCCATTAGATCAACATCAACTTCTTCGCGATGGCGATGCCGGAGGGTTTTGGATTCCTGTCTCAGAACCACAAGAGCTGGGATGGAGAGAATGATCAGCATAATGGAAAAGAAGGCCTTGATGATCCGAGATTCTAGGCGCACGAAATGCTGGAGGATGATAATAGCCATGAGATATCCAGCCAGGATCAAAGTTACTGACAAGAAGACGAAGAGCGTTCTCGAGTCATTGTAGCGGCCGTCGAGTGGGACGGATCGAATGACAAACGCGAATAGAAGGCACAAGAGTGATGGAAACCAGGCCAGCAAGAGAACGAATGAATCGTCACTGCGAGAGAAGAAGGCCTGGTAAAGCAGCGTGAACATCGCAACGCTCAATCCCTGCGTACTGTCGAGAAGACTAAGAACCATGCCCTGGTTTTTGGGGAAATTCTTGGCACAGGCCACAAGAACAGCGGTAGTGGTGAAGGCTGCCGATGCGCCGATCATAAAGAGATAGAAACAGAGTTCCCAGACATGGGGATGGGCGATTCTCTGCGTTGTAGCCAGCCATATCGTGAAGTATCCAGCAAAGTTTAGCGCGAATCCAAGGAGGAGCACGACCCAGGGCCCGGTGAGATCATAGAGGAGGCCGGAGAGAATCCCGACGCTGGTGCCAACGTCCTTAAAGAAGCTTATGGTGTTGATATTCTTTTGGTTGTAGTCGAGGGACAGCTTGAGATGCTGCGAGAAGAGGCTGAAATTGTTGAGTGATCCTCCAGAAGAGATCATGAGGAAGAAACTTGCCAATGCAACCATCCATCGACTGTTGTAGAGGTGTTTGATGGTCCCAACCATGATCCTAAGCTAAACTTTAGATTGAAATAAGAGTGGAGAGCCTATATTTAAAGTATGGATAGTTTTTCTACCTGGCCCTTCCAGAAAGAAAATGTGTCCAAGCGGCGCACAACAACGAGGAAGGTCTCTGGCATTTCTGCATCCATCAGTCTCATGCTTGACAGCTATCTATTTAGGTTATGTCGATAATCTCGTGACTGATGGATGTAGAAAATCGAAGCCGCGATGTCTCCTTCGCTGCTGCTGCCGGCTTTGTCGCTTACTATCCAGAGTCTCGAAAAAGAAAAGACGTGACGTGTTAAGGAATTGAGGTGGTGGCCACGTGGGCTGCCACCTAGAAAGAAGATCTTTCGCGGCCACCAACTTGGACTTTAACATCATGAAAAATCAACTATATAAACCCACCAATTCTATGCAATCTCGTTCATCTTATTTCCTCTTAATTTTGTAGCTTCCTTTGTTGCAAATGCCAATCAGCAGACTGATGTTCTTCCAAAGGGTGTCAAAGCTCTTATGGATAATGGCCTCGTTACCATTCCTGGCCGTTATATCAAACCTCCCAGCCACCGAGCTGTGAAGCATTTGATCATTCCCGGAGTGGAGATCCCTGTGATTGACATGGCTGCATTGGAGAGTGACCGAGAGAAATTTGTTCAAACTTTGTGCAAGGCTTCAAGTGAATGGGGCATCTTTCAGGTATTTTGATGTGTACCTGCTCAAAAGGATCATTCATAATATGATGTCACATGCAGGCTCTTAGGCAAGGCCGACTAATTCTGTTTGAATCCTATCCCTTACACCCTAAGCCAACTGGCTAAAGGGGTGATCACTTGATTGTAGGGCTCTTTCTTTATCCTATTATCCTGACCTGGTGCCTAACAATCCTCCCCCTCGTCAAGGATCGTCCGCGATCATATTTATGCCACCATCCGGTCACCATGGTTCTTCTCTTAGGGTCTACCAAACTTTGGTTCTCCCTCTAGATCCACTATGTTGAATATTTCTTTAGAATATTCCTGCCCCACTCGTCAGCCACGAGAATCGAACTGAGCTCCGATACCAATGTTAGGATTCTATCCCTTACACCCTAAGCCAACTGGCTAAAAGGGTGATCACTTGATTGCAGGGCCCTTTCTTTATCCTATTATCCTGACCTGGTGCCTAACACATTTACTCTTTCTTGCTCGAGGGCCTGGGAGCGGAAGATCACTCGCAACACCACCTCAAAGTTAGGATATGCATCACTGATGGAGATCGAAACCACAATATGTTGCCGATCAACCATGGGATTCCTGTTGCAACCATGCAAGGCATGGTCCATGGAGTGCTTGAGCTCTTTGATCTTCCTATTGAGGGAATTTATATGTTCACAATTAAGAAAAATTATATTTAAAATTTTTTATTTTTTATTTCATCAAGACTTTTGAATTTTAAAATCTTATATACATATATTTATAAAAGAGAAGATGAAGTATTATACGGAGGAGGTGTTTGTGCCTGTGCGGTACTGCATGAGTATGACACCTTCTCAAGAGACTCATATGGAGTGGCACGATCACTTTCAACACTACTTTTCAAACAGAGAAAAAGAGCATCCATGGCCGAAAAAACCAGCCTGCTACAAGTAAATGAGCTTGACTAATCTGGATTTCATGAGATTGCTTGGTTTCTTGGATATTGCAGGAGGCTCGCTTCCAGCTATGTTTCAAGTGTGAGCCATCTGAGCCTCTGATGTCTGCTTTGTCTGAAGGACTTGGGCTGGATTCAAACCGCCTCGTGAAATCATTTGGAGACTCGGAGATGATCTTGCGATCAAATTACTATCTGCCGTGCCCAAATCCCGACCTTGCTCTTGGGATGAATGGCCACACTGATAGTGGCGGTTTGACAATCCTGTTTGAAGATCAAGTTGGCGGACTCCAGGCCAGGAAAGGTGATCTCTGGTACGACTTGAAGCCTATAAAAAATGCATTCATTGTGAACATTGCTGATCAGCTTGAAGTAAGTGACTTGGATTGATTTTTATCATGGCTTTGTTCTTTTCCATGCCAGATTTTGAGCAATGGAAAATACAAGAGCATTGAGCACCGAGTCCTTGTCCAGCCTGATCAAACTCGTCTCTCCATCGTGGCATTTTGCAATCCATCGCGGGATGCTGTGATAGGACCCCTGCCAGAACTTATTGATGAGCAAAACCCGCCACTCTACAAGTCAACCTTATACCAAGAGCACATCACAAATGTCTACACAAAATATTTGGATGGCAAGCATTCACAAAAGCTCCAAATAAAATAAACCGCTCTGGACAACAAGCTGTTACTAAAATAAAATAATAGAAAGAATAAATCTTCTATTTTATAAGAGAGAACTGTCTCCAAAGATCTCTACAAAGGCAGGATGCTCCACAACTCCATTCTTGCTTCCAATCTTTGCTGTTGCTAGTTCATTTGGTGTTCATGTACATGGAACTACAGCAGGCTTGGAGATCTTCAATGTCTACTAGCTTGAAAGATCTATTGTGTTCCCAAACTCTCCAAGCCGAGACACCCAATTATCACATCGAAGACCCTTCAGGCATCTGTGAAGCTTTGCAATTATAGAGATTAGTGATGCATGGAAGAGATCCTATCTCCAGAGGCCCTGGAAGCGCCAAAGTGAAGCAAGTCCAAGACTGCATTGGTGGACAAGTCCACGACTGAGGCAACCCAACCATGGATCAACAGTACTAGTTGTCTATATGAATTGTTTGGCATCACTTGGCCACCTCATCATGCTGGATCTCAGCAACAATTCACTCTTTGCCATAATCCCTGGATCACTGGGTGATATTCCAATGCTATGGACAACCTTGATGCTCAACTAAATCTTCAAGATCTTCAACAAGGAGCTTCCAAAATTTCTGGAGAGGTCATTGCCATCCACTTCCTCAAAACTAGCTAGTTGCTTTTTGTTTTTGGTTTGCTGCTCTATCTTCCAAGATTTTGCATAGGATGTTCGGTGCCAACTTTGACCACGTGGTCAATGTCAATTGGCATATTAGGGTAAGAAACTTAACTTAATTGGAGTGGTAGTGCATTGGAGGTAGCTTAGAGGTAATTGGGTGCTTAAGAGGAGGTATAGTGTAATTTAGGGAGATTAAATTTTTCTCTTTTAACACCAGATCATTAGTTGCAATGGTCGACCAAAATAAATGTTGGACCATTTAAAATGTTGTTCATGAGCTGCTAGTCTCAATAAAAGATGCAAGACGAGATGCATGGTATGATGGATACCATGCATGAGTGTGTTAAGGCACTCAAGGTTGGATGTGGTGGCACTCCAAGTAAGAGTTCCTTGGTAAATTAACTCAAGATTTCAACCTTTTTTAGTGATGGTGGTGTAGATGAGTGTCTAACTTGGTTGGCTAATTTGAAGAAGTTTTTAGCTGCTAAAGGAATTCTAGATGCAAAAGCTTTAGTGACTATTCTAATGGTTTTGCATGGTGTAAGTTTTTGATGGTGGAATTGGCTTGAAGAGTTTTCTGTTGCGGATAAAAGACCACTAGTGTTCACCATAAATGAGTTTGAGGCTGTTTTTCATTCACATTTTTCCTTCACTATGACATGGAAAATGTTCATATAGAATTTTGAGATTTTCAACAAAGGAAAATAATGTTTAAGGACTATATTGAGAAGCTTACTCATTTGATTAGCTGTGTTTTAACAAAGGATCTAGATAAAAAAAAATCTTACTTCATTGATAGCTTTCATAGTGAGAGTAAGTGGTAACACTTACGTCATTTTCAGTTTACAAAGAGTTTGAAGAAGCTCTTTGATACAACTCATTGATTTAACAATGACAAATATAAGTCTCGCAAGTATTTGTCAAGAATCATTATAATAATTGTTGTGGACACAAGGATAGGAACAAGAATCACAAATTAAAGTATATAGTGGCTACTTTGGATGCAAAGGGGTTAAAAAAGTAAAAATTCTTTATAAAAAATTATAGACAAAGTTATCATCATTGTAATAAGTTTGGACATTATAAAGTTGATTGTTCATAATTGAAGAATAAATAGTAGGGCAAAAAAAATGGTCAATCTTCTACTGATAGTAAGTAAGATATTAAAAAAGTTTGTAAACTTTGCAACACGAGGATGATGGAGTTGACCATTTTTGTCAAAGGAAGAGGTTTTTAATCATTGCTTGTTAACTCAACTATATGTGAGAAAAAATAGAGCTCAAGGACATTCATGCATCAACTTTAATGCTGGAGGGTGTGTTTTATGGTGATCTAGTGTGGATTTTATTAGATAGTGGGAGCGATAACAATTTTGTTTCAGCAAAGTTTGTTAAGGAGTATGGCTTAGTGCCACGAGATGTTTTTCTATACATAATGGAAAATGCAACTACTTATGCTTAGCATTTTGATACTTTTGTTAAGGGTTAGAAGTGTTGGTTGGCAAAACCACACTTTAAAGATTTTTTATCTCATAAATATCCATTATATGGATCACATTTTTGGGATGCCATGGTTGGTGAAGGTGGATGCAAAGATAAAATAAAGTATTAAGCATATCTCGCTGGAGTATAATATTATTAAAGATGTGTGGTTTGGAAAGGGAGTTCAACTTTCGGTTGTTATACTCTCTATTACATCTTTGAAATGGGCTTATCATAATGGAAAAACATTTTTGAGTTACTTGCTGTTTATTCATGACTTAGGGACCAAGGCATGTATTAAGGAGGGGCAGCAATTACTCAAAGAGTTTTCTGATGTTTTTCCATTTGAACTTCCTCATGGGTTACTTCCATTATAAGGTGTGGAGTATGGGATTATGTTAGAGTTAGGGATGTGGCTAATTTACCAATGTTCATTTCGATTGAGTTATATAAAGGAGTAAAAAGTTCAATGACAAGGAATTATTTGAGTTTAGATTTATTCAGCCAAGTAAGTCTTTATTTAGTGCTTTGATTTTGTTTTTGAAGAAGGACAATTCAATGCAAATGTGTATTGATTACCATGCCTTAAACAAAAAGATAGTGAAGGATAAGATATCAATATTGCATGTAGATGATATCCTAAACAAGTTTAGTGAAGCATTTACCAAAATTGATTTAAAGAGTGAATATCATTAGATTGCAATGGATGATGCATTTATCTCTAAGACAGCATTCAATATGAGTTTCAGGCATTTTACAGTTATGCCATTTAGTTTGATAAATGCACCCACCACATTTACTTAGTTGATGATAGAGGTATTTAGGCATTATCTTCATGAATTTTTGGAAATTTTCTTGGATGATATTCTTGCTTTCAACAAAAATATAGAGGAGCATAAGGTGCATTTGCACAAGGTTCTTTTGTTACTATGTGACAACAAACTTTATGTGAAGAAGAGCAAATACAAGTTTGCAAAGTTGGAGGTGGAATATCTAAGCTATATTATAACATCTAAGGGTGTTAATATAGAGCCAAGAAAGGTGGTTGTGGTGGAGAACTAATCTACACCAACTTTAGTGGCCAAGTTATATAGCTTCTTTGGTATAGTTAGTTACTACTGACATTTCTAACACAAGTTTGTAGAGGTGATTATTCCTTTGACATGGTTGTTGCACATGATCATGCTAATCAAATGGAAAAATCCATATAAAGATATTTTGTGGTATTGAAATGATTGTTGAGTGATGTTCTAGTGCTTTACATTTGTTGATCCATCAAAACCTTATGAGGTGATATATGATGTGAGTGGTTATGCACTAAAAAGAGTTTTCATGCAAGAGGAATAACCTATTGCATATAAGAGTTGAATTATGCTTTATTTCGTTAAAGTGGGACTTTTCATTATCCCACTTATGGTGTGTGGCCACATGCCATTTTTATAACAACAATAAAAAATTGAAGTTTTAACTTTATAATTTATAAATTAAAAACTTTTCATATGATTTTGTGTTATAATATTGTGAAATATAAAAAAATAAATTAAAAAACTGATAGAAATATTAATAAATATTAATTAAGTACTAGGAAATGGCATGTGGACACATGCTAATTAATGTCCCACTTTACTGAATAAGTCCCACTTTAACGAAATAAAGCATAATTTTGAATTTTGCAGAGTAACACATATGAGCAAAAGTTACTTTCCATTATTCATGATTTACAAACGTGGCAGCATTATCTTTATGGTGCAGTGTTTGTGGTGTTGATAAATCATAAACCTTTTGTGTATCTCTTCATGTAGAAAGAGTTGAACATTAGGCAAATTTGTTGGATGATCAAACTTATAGAATTTGGGGAGTTTTCTATTGAGCATCATTTGAGAAAATCAAATGTGGTGATAAATGCTTTATCTTGTGTTTGTCATATGATGGCATTATAAACACAATTTTGTCATCATTTGAATAAAGTAGTCAATGAGTTTAAGCAATTGATTGAGCTTACTCAGGCTTAAGATGTTGAGGTGGTTTTTTTGTGAGTATAGATAAAAACCCTTTTTGTATTGGTGGATGGGATTCTTTACTACAATGGTTATGTCTATTTACCATAGGTGAATGTGTTGATTACTTAGGTTTTATTCCACTACCATAATCATCTAGAGGTTAGTCATTTTTGGGGGAAGAAAACATATGAGTTGATTAAACGCAATTTTTATTAAAGGAATATGAAGGTTGATATCCTTGAGTATTGTAAATCATGCGAGCTCACAAAATTTAATGAGATTTTAGTGGTATGTAAACGAAATTTATAGGTAACTTAGAATAGAGTGGAGAAGTTTATTGTCGCCTTAGAATCAAACTTATTTTGAACATCTTTACTCAAATGCAATCTCAACTCCACCACTATTTTAAGATGCTTTCCAAATATGGCAAAGTAAGGATTTAACTTAGTTCCACTATTTTGTCTATTGTTGTAAGTAAATTGCACTAACAGAAGATATAAATTCTATTGTCCTTACTTATAGCCAATGCTACAATGTAGTATATCCTCCACCATTTGATTCACACTCTTAGTTTGCCCAGCCATTTAAGGATGATCTCCACTCAAGAGTTGAAAGTCACTTATATAAACTTTGCAAAGCTCATCTAAAATCCACTAGTGAACTTTGAATCATAATTATTACTGATGTTTCTCGGAAAACCAAAATAAAAAAAAA